TAGCTAAGACACTTTTATTCTAACTACAGTGCTATTGTTCATCTTCCCAGTGACGGCAGGAGTTCATCTTCAACTATGAATTTCAGTTCTTGCTGATTTAGGAGTTGATCTGCAATTTCTACACCAGTGGCTGTGACAAAAGCGGCCCCCTCTGAATTCATGGCAGGCTGCTCACGCACCTGGGAACCACTCACCCAAAAACCACTCGCAGGCGCCAAAGACTGTTTTGGGTTTCGTTTCCAGGAGAAAGCAGCACATCAGTTTAGACACGAGGTCACCCAACAGGTTACAAAGAATGACAGATCACATTTTCTGGGGATCTGGTGGCTTCTTGTGGGTTCAGGTTAGCGCCTGGGCTGGAATATCTTGGCTCCCAGCAGCTGGTGGAAGAGCTGCTGCCCATGGGGAACCACCAAAAAGCAGTGTTCCTGCCCAGCTGGCTCAGAGTTGCAGCTGACACAGCCTGGTTTTGCAACACAGGTGTTTCAGATCGTGCATGTGTATCGTGTACGTGCAGCTGCCACGTGAAGCTCACGTTGACATCCACGGATTGGGCAAAGGGTAACCCTCACGGTTATCCAGGGGGTGTGTGCAGAGCTGGGCCCTGCAGACAGCCCTGAACTGGCAGGGCTGAGCTCTGCCCAACGTGTGGGAACAAGGTAAACCTCCAGATGCCATCAGCCCCAAGTTGAGGATGTCCACCTTCAGAATACAGCAGTTAAATAATCTCCATCGAGGCAAAAGGAGATGTTTGTTAGTCCAAGGCAGAAATCCGTGTGTCTTGCAGGGTGTTAATCTGATCTGAAGCCCTTTTTTTTTTTTTTTTTTTTTTTTTTTTTTTTTTTTTTTTTTTTTTTTTTTTTTTTGGTGAGTTTCTAATCAATTCTTAAACTTCTGCCTAGGACAGGACTGAAATCCCTGCAATCTTCTACATCTCTGCTGGCCTGCAGGAGAGCTGCATGGGCAGTGCCACTGTGGGCCACCCCAACCTGCTCGTGGCACGTCCCCTGCTTTGCCTGGTGGCCCCTACAACACCACAGCTGGATTTCAGTTTGGGCTTCTCTCAGCAGTGTCCAGGAGTGGGCAACCAGCAACACCAGGTGAGGTGCCCTCTGCTTTGTTCCCATCGGTGTGCACTCCTTACAGCTCCCCAGAAATGAATCCCCAAACTCCACCTTGGGCTGGTGCCTTCCCCGTAACATCCAAGATGTTCCCCAAGGACAAAATGATCACAATGACATTTAACTCCGCCTGACCAGGGCCAGATTCAAACCAGTCATCTCAGCATTGGCTGCACGTCCCACTAGCGGGTTTTAAACTGATGGTGCCAGTGGGTTTTATTTAAAATACCATTACTGTTCATTGGGTGGGCTTTTAATGTGGTTTTTTTCTTTCTCTTTTTTGTTCCCTTTTTTTTTTTTTTTTTTTTTTTTTTTTTTTTTTTTTTTTTTTTTTTTTTTTTTTTTTTTTTTTTTTTTTTTTTTTTTTTTTTTTTTTTTTTTTTTTTTTTTTTTTTTTTTTTTTTTTTTTTTTAGGGAAATGTCATCCTTGTTTTTCCAGGTTACAAATTCCTGAGTTTATACTGCACTTAACACAGTCTCCCTTCTCGAATGTTGAGCTGTTTACAGCATGCTGGCAATATGCACCATTTCCCTTACCATCTGTAATGCCAGATGTAGTAAAACTTCATTTCAGTACAGTGAATTAGGGCCTCTATTGCGTTGGTTTTGAATAGATGCAAAGACTTAGACCTGGAGGACTTGGAGTAATATCGTTCCTCCTGTGACTGGTCATTTGTGCAGCATCTTTTATGTTTGCCGTGTTAATTAAGGGAAAACATCTTTACCGTCATTTTTCTTTTTACCAAGAGCTCACTGGGAAACATCTGAAATGAGGGAATCCTAGTCTAAACACTGAAGTTTAAACTGCAAACTTTCTTAAAGAAACACTCCTTTGAAAGACATCGTTCTTTTAATAAGTCCAATACACGGTATATACAAAAGCCCCTACTAGATATATATATATGTGCATGTATATATATATATATATATTTATATGTGGAATGCATTCACTTTTCTGTGTTCACAAATATTTTAATGGTGAAATGTTAAGTCTTTAATCTGTTCCTGGCACCAAAATGTCTTTGTTCCTCATCCACTTGTGTTACTCGAAATTTATCTGTGAAGAGCTAGCAGGGAAAAAAAGAAGGATTTTGCTTTTTTGTTGTTGTTATTGTTGTTGTTGAATGGTTCCCTATTGGGATTCTCAGCCAGCAATATAAAGTTGCTATAATGTGTTGGGTACAACTTTAAATCCTCATTATAATCATGTGTTCCTTGGAGTAGGTAAGTCAATAACTATAGGTGGATTAAGTGGCTGGTAATTCACAGTGCACACAGATGCATTCACATAGGTAGTGGTTCCATCAGCCATGACACCATAACCTACAAAGGAAGAAAAACTCTGATTACTCTCATTATTCACCATTATCTTCTTTATTTTTCAACTCTTCACCTTTCCCACACAATGGTAAGTGCTGCATTTATCGCTCAGAAGGAATTTAAAAATTCTCTTGGTCCCCTGAAAAAAAACCATCTTTGTCCTACTGAACTTTTTGCCGCCTTTTAAATTGTGTAAGAAAAACAAAAGAGCCCCTCACTGGCTAGGGGCAATAATCTCTGGCAGCCAGCTCACCAAACCTCCTTAGAAAGACAGATACTTTTCTCTGCAAAGCTTTCTTTCTTAAAACCATTTTAGTTTTGGGAAGGATGAGAAAGTAGATATTAGGCATTATTAAAAAAAAAAAAAAAGTGCTTCTGATCATTTATGTTTCCAGTCATCAGTGCAACAAACTCTGGGCTCTTTTAATCTTTCCACCTTTCTTTCCTGCCCAGTGTTGAACACAATTTAGCAAACAATGAAGAAAAAGCATTGCTTGACTTAAGGGAGGTATGTGAGCATGTGCAGCTGGGCAGGATTTTTCTATAGCAGCAACCCCTTCTTCCTATGTGTTTGAAGTTGTTAACGAATTTCCACCAAATTTGATGGAAAGACACTAAAATTCCTGCCCAGGGAGAGAAAAAAAAATGGCTTTATTAATGCATTTTCCAACAGACAAGGTGAATTCATAACCCAAGACACCATAACAACTTCCACACAACTGTGTGTCTCACCAGTGGTGGAAAAGCTTCAACCACATCTCATGTCTGGCCAGGCACCCAAACCAGACAATTCCAGAGCTAAATCTGCAGAAAATCAAACTTCCAGCCCTAATGCCTGTAAAAATACTGTGAAATGCTGTTTCAGAAAGAGAAGAAGAAGCCCTTTAACAGCCCTGGTGTCTTGAGAAAGCAAAAGCTCTCCATTGTGAAAAATCTTGTCATGAATGACCAGGAAAAAAAAACATAAGCTTGATTACACTAAAACTAAAAGCTGGATGTTGGAAACTTTCATTGAAATATTTTGATCAACGTGAAGAATTCACAATCAGAAATACATGATCACTTGGTAGAAAGTGTTTGCATTAATATTCAGTCTCATCATTAGTGAAGTTAATAGGGAAATGTATTTGTTGTTGCATGCACTGAGTTCCAGCCATTCAAATCCTGAGTACCTGGGACCCTGTGGTTTTTCTGAGTGCAGTTTTGTGTCTTACAGAAACATTGGCAGTTGGATCGTTTGCAAACAAAGAAACAGTAGCCAATTTCCTTTTCCTTTTTTTTTGTACCTCAAAATACCCTGAATAATGCAGGGCCTCCTGGACTCCCCACGGAAAAACCACACTATAATTAGGGACTAGGGAGGGAAGAAAACTCTGCTGGGACTTTGTGTCTTCTTGGCCACACATTTGGAGGTTTGCTGGAAGATTCCTGATGCTGTGGCTTGTCACTCCTGTCCTACTGCCAGCAGAGTTTTCTTGGCCACGACCTCAGCTAAGGATTGGCTGTGATGGGAAAACCAGGATTTTAGTCCCTGCCATGCTGCTTGTCACTTCCACGGGTCCATCAGCAGGAAACCCATGTGCAGAGGTATTTTTTGGCAGACACAGCAAGTGCAGGGGGGGGGGGAATAGGGAAGAAACATCTCTTCTGAGCATCCCTTCCCCCAAGATGTTCAGTAAATGACTGCTGCAGATGCAGCTTTCCTCACTCAGAGGGAGAACTCATCTGTTCAAATCATGAATTCTCTCTACAAAGTGCAGCTTCATTTGCACAGGCTGCCTGCAAAGGGAATTCTCCTCTGCAGAGATTCAGCATCCCCCTGCAAAACAGGCTATGCAGTTCCCCACTTGTTTTCCCTAAATTATGATAGTTAACAAGAAGAGTACCTTGTTTCTGTGCTTCCACACCTACTGTGCCAACTGCATCAATTCACGAGTTTTGCCATTCCAGGGAGGTGCCACTCTCTCCCCTTGAGAGCCAAAGTTGGGCTTGGTTCTAGCAGATGTGATTTTGTTTACCTGCCTGAAACTTCAAGGCTTGCTGTTTGCTTGGATCCCCTGCAACCCACTTGGCTTACAAGTTCTGAAAGAGTGATGAGTTTGAACTGTGTTCACCTGCTCTTTTGTCTGGAATATAAAAGGTGCTCTAACAGCATTATTTGTTTATTCTGTGATTCAGCAGCACTTGGGACATTACCCAGGCATTAAGAGGTCACCACAGAGGAGGCACATGAGGAGAATGGATTTAATCCCTGAGCTGTAAAACAATGATCTGAACATCTCTTCCATCAGTTTTAATCCAGCACACCTCTCAGCAATGTCCTTTTTAATGTGGGGTGAAAGCTCCCAGCAGCAAGCCAGGATAGGATTTTTTGGCAAGGGCCATGTTTCTTCTCAAAACCCGGATGCCAGCTACTCCAGTTTTTCCATTTCTGCCCTGGTGAGACCCACAGAGATCCTACATCCAAGGCTGGAGCGGGCCCAGAAGCAGAAATCTGGCAGTAGTGGAGTACCTTTTCCTGCCAGTAAGTTAATACTGCCAAGGACTAAGCAGCTGATTATAAACACTCACATGCCAATGGGTCACCTTTTGCACAGCCCAGTGATTTCCTCTTCTGGGGGCACTGCTTGAAATCCTTGACATGTGAACAGGGCAGACATCATCTACCTCTCCCTTTGCCTGGAGGTGCACTCCTGCTGTCACCAACTTGAGCAGAGCATTTTTGTCACCATTTGTTGACTTAAGTGAACTCTTTTTTTTTTTTTTTTCCCAGCTAAATATCAAATAATCAAGAGAACCACTGTTTTGTCTGGGCAAAAAATGTTTCCCCTGGCCGAGCATCTAAATGCATCAATAAATATCTTGGAACTTCTACCCAAGGCACTGGTGACATCCCTCTTGAATTCAGCTTCAGATATGCCCTTTATTGTACAATCTTGAAGCTTAAGCCTTAGAAGAACCTCTCAGAGCATTCCTACCCATTTCAGAGACACAGAAAAACCGAAACACAGAGAGCTTGCATGAATTATCTTAACTCACAGATTCAGCTGAGGACAATACAATCCATCAGTCCTAATGTTTAGTAACTACTGGGCTTGTGTTCTTATTTTAAAATTCACAGCAATCCTCCCTGTGAAGGAAGCATCACCCTCTTTCGTAGATGTGGAAACTGAAAGGGAAGCTGAAGTACAAATGCTGAAATGTGAGTATCAGCTGATTTCATCTCTATAAATGCAGCTAAATATGTATCTGAATTCTAAGAGTTCAGACGTTCGAGTTTGAAAATGCTACTTAAACCTTCTGTGTTGGTGGTTTCTAAACATAGATGGAAAGAAATGTGTTCTGACCTTCATGGATATGTCCAAAAACGTGAAGCCTTGGCTGTATTCGTCTCTGGACTGTGTTCAGCAGCTCGACACATCCTACCCGTTGCATTTTCTTGGGAACCCAGTCTAGAAAACCTTTGGAAAAGAAAGGAAAGCTTTCAAAGAAGGCAGGTAATCTGCAGCTGTGCTGTTCCTCAGCGTTTCTGAGATTTAATGGCTTTTCACAAGCAGCCTCAGAAGAGCTGACATGATAAAAACTGTGTTGGTGAATAGAAGAGGAAGGAAGGAAAAACACTCAAGGAAAACCATAAAAGCTCACCTGGATAAAATGAACTATGATAATCCTTACCAGTTGTTTTTCAAGGAATAAAAAAAAAAAAAAAAAGAAATCACGGCAATTCAAGCATTTTTTGCACTGCTATAAATGGGAAAACTCAATGTTTCACCCATTTTTCTTCCTTGAAGAGGGTGAGGTGCAAAGAGCAGCGAGTCCAAAGCGAGTCTCCAGGCAACCTAAATGAACTTTTAGCTGTTTGAATCTAATCCTGAGATCCACTTCTTTAAATGGAACACCTTGACTGGTGCAATGGAATCTGTGTTAATAAAACTGTATCACATTGAATCCTAGAGTAGGGGAACTCAGACGAGGGACCTTCTGTGTGCCCAAAAAAAAAAACATCCTCAGGCAAAACTGGTTTAACCAATTCATGACACAGCAAGCCCCACTTGCCTAAACTTATGGACAGGAAGAGAAACTCAGGCCTTTTGCAGTAGATATATATTGAAGTGCTATATTTACGTGCACAAAGATGGTGTGAAAATGTGTATTTCGTATGAATACAGCCAGAAATATTGCACCAACTTGCCTCTTTATCTAAAAATACTGCAGGGGGATGTTTACTGCCAACTGAAGTCTCATGTTTTCCTTCAAAGTAGTACTAGAAGAAGGATCTTGTTGTGTCAGAGGGTTTGCAATAACCACTCTGATTTCTTTCTGTTTTTCTGCCACCGTCACCAGGCTCAAATTTGGAAACCTGAAAAGATAAAATCTTCCTGGTTTTATTGTGTTGTTCTGGCCATTTTCCCCGTGTGCCTGTCGTAGCTTTGTGTCTCCTGGATTGCTGCAGTCTTGTGAATAGATTGTGCCTTTAGCACAGAGTTACAGAGCCTGGACCTGGTTTTCATGGGTTTCCTTTTGATGTCCACTCAAGCATGGCTAAGCAGCAACCAACTGGCTTAAAAGCCCAGGACTGTGGTATTCAAGCTCCTGGAAAAGCTCTCAGATTTGCTAGAGCTTCAGGGTAGGTTCACACATTGAGAAATGTCTCTTTATAGCTGCCAGTGCTTGAAAACTGGGCTCAAAGTACACTGTGGGGTTGTATGAAAATGGTCAGAGTTTGCCCTTCTGTCATAGAGAGATAGGTCCAGTTTTCAGAAAGAAGATGGGAATGCAGCATCCTAATGCCAAAAAGAGGAAGTTCTGCTTATGATCAAAAACTTTTTAATTCATTCAGATTTGTACCTTCCTCTGTTTGGCACCTGTGAGGGGGGTGAACAAAGAGAAAGCCCCTCTGAATCACAGGCAGAGCAGAGCAATGTTCTGCTGAGCTCACCAGTCACTCACAGCAGGTCAAAATTTACTGCAGGAAACAAGAAGTGTTTAAGATGTTAAAGTGCAGCCAGAAATTCCTCTGGAATCCAGTGATTCCTTTTTTTTTTTTTTTTTTTTTTTTTCCCCAGAATAAACATCTTATAACCACGGGTTTTGTTACTTCAGTGATTTGAAACAGTTAATTGTCAAAACGTCTGTGGAGAACAGGAAGCCAAAAGTGTTTCCACTTGAAAAACTTCACAAACAAAAATCCATAAAATTAACTTCTCCATTAAATTAAGCATTATTTATGTTGAACATGTTTTTGTTTACATGCATTATCACCCTTCTGAAGCCTTCCCATATGTTTGCAGCTTATTATGTACACCTGACTACACAAACTAAGAATAATTGATTACACCTAGCTAACAATTAGAGTTCATCTTAGGGTTTTTTTAATGTTTGGTTACTTGAAACAGGTTTCTGCAGCTGTCAGGAAAGTATAAATCTTTGTCACAGACAATCAAGCAGACAGCTGCAAATGAAGACTTAAAGGTGAAATTAAATTAAAAACAAAGAAAAGAAAAGTGAACTTTTGGAAGAGAAATAAAAGCATCGTAAATGCAGGGCTTTAGGAATCGGGGAAAATGCTTTGAAAGTTATACCATACGTAAAAGTGACAACAACATGCTGATATGGAAATGAGCATTAGCACTGAACCCATCGTCATAAGCACTGTATTTCATAAGCTGTGAAATAGATGGCATCTCTTTGCTAATAACTAACAGGTTACTAATGAAATGATCAATAATATAGCTGTTTTAACCTTTGTTTTCTTATCCTGTGGGTATCATCCCAAAGCACTACTCTAAAACAGAAGAAAAAAATTACTCAAGTTTTTGTCGCTAACTGAGAAACAAAGTCCATAAACTCTTACTGCTGCTTCTGCATCTAAATCACACCATTTCAAATCTCTGGAATAATGTACTAATTCGCTTAGGAGGATGCACGCTCTTGAAGTGAGGGAATGAGAAAGCAGCACAGAAAATGGATGATGAATCTACTTTTTTAGGCAGCTCTGCTGGAGAAAAAAAACCCTAAAATTTGCAAGAGGACTGATTGTTATTTATGATCATTGGGAACAGCTCTAGTGGTGCTGCCCAAGATCAGAACAACAATAATCAGCATTCTGATTAAAATAATTGGCTGGGAGGTTCAAGGAGGATCCTGTCTCCCAAAATGTCTGTGGACAGAGCTGGGCAGAGCCACACAATGAGGAGGTTCCCTATATTAGGCAAAGCTCTAATTTCTTTCAATATATTTGTTGCCCTGGGTGTCAGGGAGAGCAGCAGCTGATGGGTTCTGTGCCTGAGCCATCTATTAATGAATCAGTAAGAGAGAGACAAAGAAACAGGAACTATTAAAAAAAAAAAAAAAAAAAAGAAAATTCTTGGAGGATGGTTTAAGATTAAAAATTTAAAAAGAAAAAAAAAAGAACAAATACTGAGACATGGAGGCGGGGGGAAATTCACATTATTCCATTGCAATCAGTGAAGATGGGCGGCTCTTCCTCAGAATTACTATAATTATTAAATTACTTTTCAATTATTAAATGTATTATTAAAGTATGTCTGTTGAGTGAGGGAAGATAATCTGTGTAGAGGTTCTCCTCCCTCTGCAGATCCCAGAGGCTACTGGAGAGGCCTGGTGGCTGAATTATCAAGGTGGTTGAAGCTGGGTGGTGTGAACCCCTCTCTCCACTTTCCAGCACCGGACTGCAGGTGAATCTTTGGGTCAGCTGAAGGTTGGATATTTTTTTTACAGCTGGTTTTAAAAACAATTCTGAAAGTGCTGAAAAAGCTTCTGGCAAACTTTGGAGCTGATACCTCAGGATCCAAACAGTTAATTTCTGGCATCCATGATAGAGGCTCGTATTAAAATCAGTCCATGGCATGAGACTCCACTTAAGGTGAAGTATCAAAACACAACCCCTGCTGTGAGAAACTACACTCACAAAGAGGTGCTTTCCCCCGGGATTAGTGAACAGGGGAATGCAAACATGTCTTTCTTAAGAAAACAAAACACAAACCCTTAAGATACTTTCTCCTCCAAGCTCTGAAAGGGAAGAAAGGGTGGAAGACAAGAGGGTTTTAGGGGTCAGGAAATGGGGGAGACTAAAGGTTTGAAGAAACCAGCTGCCTTCATTTCACACAAAGTACTCAGCAGAACCCTTCAGTCCATGTTCCATGTCTGTGTCCATTTATTAAATTAATGAGAGTTAAACACACAGTCACGTCAAATATAGATTGCTGTAAGTTAAATTCATCAAAAAACAGCCTCAAGCCTTTTCTGGACAAGTTCATGTGATTATATCATCTCTGCAAACAAAGGTCATTTCACAATTTTCTAGAATACCAGAAATCTCTTATGGCTTTTGTATCATCTCTGTTGATATTTGGAAAACACACATGCAAAACTATTTCTTTTTGATCTGCTCCTGTTGCCAGACTGTACTACAGATAAGCAACTCACCCATGCTGTCCGAAGAACAGGCAAACTATGGCAGCATTTGGGTTTGTGAGGCAGAAGGGGCACCAAGTCAGCACAGGCAGGAAAAACAGAGATTCTGGGTACTTGTTAAAGTGACAAAAAATAAGATCCTAATCCTACATTTCTCTTCCAGCAGGCTCCATGCTTTCAATCTAGTAATTTCACCACTGGCAGATTAGACAGATGCACAGGTAAACGAGCCCCTGCTTATTTATAAAGCTCGTTAAGGCTTTATGTGCCGAGGTTTTATTTTTCAAGCCGTTATTTAATTCCCTACCACTGGGCACAGGTATCATAGGCAATCATGAGCTGAAGTCCTGGTGCCGCTGAAATCAGTCTGCATGTGTACTTTTGACTTTTTTTCCAGTCAGGATTGCACCCTGTTTCTGAGGAGAGCCAACAGTTTCTGCACAATCATCCGAAACGCACAGCTAAGAGCACTTGTATTTTCTTACCGAGAGGTGGTCCGTGTGTTATAAGAATATCTATTCCATCTGGAATAAGGTTCCATTTCTCTAATAGTGCTTGGCCTCGTGGAAGATTAAAGCCCCAGCCATAAAACCAAGGTTGCCTGCCAAGAGAGGAGGAGAATGTCTTCAGTGCTACTTTCCATGTACTGGTTATCTAATTAAAACACTGAGATTGACTCTCCACTAGCGTGGAATTTGAAGACACAAGCAGCATTCATTTTCTCCTTTGTGTGCACAGTAAACCCCTCTCTCCATACAACCAGTATTATTTAACTTGGATGGCAAACCAGTGCAGTCCTCACCACTTCCAGCAGACAGTAAAACATTCACAGTATTCCTGTGACTACTTTCAAGACCTGGATACCAAGATCTCCCTGTGTGGATCATCCTGCTCGGCTCCCACAACATTTAGAACACCTGTCTCAAGACATCTACATGTGGATATGTCTCACATTGGCTCCCACAGCATTTGGCCCTTATCCTATGACCAGCTGGGCAAGGACAGCCCCTGGCACAGTGACAGATCCCGCTCCAAAGTCAGAGACATCCTCTCTGCTGCTTTGTTTCCCTAATTGGATGCATCCTATCAGAACAAGAATGCTGCTGCTTCTCTCACACATAGATTTTCTTCTGTCCTCTGGTGTGTTGACTTGCTTTTAAGTAAGACTTTCCATATTCAGGACTTCTTATCAGACAGGCATTTACATTTTTTTAAACCATATTTATGGAGCAGCTGATCGTGGAGCAGCAGGACTGTAACACTGCCAGTCAGAACACAATTTATCCACATCTTGCTATCCCATTGATTAAAAAAACCTGTATTTCACAGCAATGTTAAATTATGTCTTGCTGACGAGGCTCCAATTCTAGGCCAGAAAACTGAGGGGTTAGTTTTAGGTTGGAGATTTTATAATCTTCTGACAGACATCTTTTGGCCACACCAATATTTGAAGAACAATGAATAGGCTGCTTTTCTTCCACAGACAAAAAGAGCCTCAACTGTTGACGACTGAAAAGGTTTTCTGTGTCCACATCACATCTAGCTCTTCATCATGTGCCCTGCATCACCAGGGTCTGGAGAAACAGGTGTCTAAGGAAGAAAAAACCAAAAAAGTGAAACCTTGTACATGTGCCACTGGGACCAGAAATACATCCCAGCCTTCAGAAGCTGTGAGGAGGGAGGTGAAGAAGGTGTGTGAAGAAGAGATGTTAACAGCACTAGCAATGAAGCAGAAATCTTGCTCTGAGTCATGTTGCTCAGACCAAGGCAACTGGCTAAGATAAAGACATACTAGGGCTACAAAATCCCACTTTTCTGTTTGCCTGTTCAACTCCTGGCAGCGTTTCCTCAGAGGAGGAACAGCACCTGGCTCACAGGCACGTGACTTCTCACCTTCCTGCTGCTGGGTGGTAACTCATGGTCTGGACAGGAGGCTCAGGAGAGACCTTATCCCTCTAAAATTCCCTGAGAGGTTGTAACCAGGTGGGTATCAGTCTCTTCTCCCAGGTAACAATAGATAGGACAAGAGGAAATGGCCTCAAGTTGTGCCAGGGGAGGTTTAGATTGGATATTAGGGAAAAATTCTTCACCAATAGGTCAAGCTCTGGAACTGAGGCACCATCCCTGGAGTTAGCTAAAAGCTGTGTAGATGTGGCACTTGGGGACATGGTTTAGCAGTGTTAGGTTTATGGCTCAGTGCTCTTAAAGGCCTTTTCCAACCTAAACAATGCTGGGATTGTAGTACCTGGCTCGCTCTGCACTGACACTGTCCCACAGAGCCAAACCCCAGCCTGTGCAGCTTGATCAGCCCCTCTTTACCTTCAGCTCTCCACTGACAGAATGGGAGTATTTTTATCACACAGGAATGCCCTAAGAATAAATAAACTGAAGTTTGTGGGGTGCTTGGGTTTTAGAGAAGTGGGAGGCTTTATAAAAATACACGGTAGTCAGGCTTTTTCTGAACTCTCCATCCTTTCCTGCCTCAGGATTGCATTCCACACCTTACACACCCAGTATCTTTCTTCACCCAGATGAAAACACTCAACTGTTTGGCAAATAGTCTGTACGCCCAGGGCACGTTTTCCAGGAGCAAAATCTCACTGACAGAAGATATTTGCGAGGGCAAATAGGAGGCAAAAGGAGTGTGAGCACAGTAAATCATGTTTTTAAAGCCACTGACGGTGGATATACTGCCCTTCTCCCACCTGTCACTCACCCTGGTGCTGCTGCACATGGGTAGATTCATTAGATTAGGAGAGATTAGACAGATTAGGTAGATTAGAGAAGGGTGCTAGTAATGCCAAGGTTGTGGGTTTAATCCCTGTGTGGCTCAATCACTTAAGATTTGGACTTGATGATCCTTGTGGTTCCCTTCAAACCCAAAACATTCTGTGATTCTGTGACAGGATCATCCCCCCAGCAGAACCAGCCCCAGGAAACAAACTGAGGGGAAAGATGGACTTTTTCTAAGAAGAAAAGATCAGAATAATGATTCAAAGAACACAACGAAGCATTTATAAAGAGAAATAACCACGACTGTAACACAGGTCTGCCCACCAGTCAGCTCAACCCCGCTGAAATCCGGATGACCACAAACAGCATCTGCAGCTGGGGGAGGCTCTGCTTCCTCTACCAGGGCCACACTACAGGGCCACTCTGTGAAAAGCCCATTTCCCCTTATGAATAGGCATGATCTGCTTATTAAGACAAGCAGCACTTTCCCCCGTGCCTCCCTCCCTCGCTCCCTTTGTGGTGCCTGCAGCCGAGCGCGGGGCTGGTAAGTTATTCATGCTGGAGCTGTTCTTTTGTGAGGGGGAGATGTTACAACTTGTGTGATTTGCCATTATGCTGTCTTTTGTGACAATCACGAGATGGAAAGAAGTGTCTGGAATATTTCTGGCAAAAAAACACACCCAAAGTCCAAGAAAGGATTCAGTGGAGGATGCTGGCATGCTTCAGAGCTGAGAGAAGAAAGACAAATCACACACTTCAGTGCCCCCAAAGCAAAACCATCTTTATAAGCACGCAGGGATTTTATAAATCCCCAAGTCCCTTCTTCCGAAAATTTATTGCAAAATAGCCATCAAAGTTTCTGAGTAGGGGAAAAAAAAAACCCCCAATCTTCCCTAATACCCACCAACAAGTCTGTGACCTGGATATCATGCAAAGACAACTTGGTCTAGAATTTCCATTTCTGATGGAACCTGAAAGCAAAGTTAAATTCTTCATGTCAAGCACTGAATTTCTGTATTCTCGCTTAGTGCTTACTCAGGAAAAGTAAAATATTTTCATAATTTATGTTTCAACAATAATATTTTACATTTAACAAAGAAAACGTTGTGTATGTTCTATAAGAGAAAAATCCACTATTCTAAAAAAAAACCCAAAACAAACCACCAAGAAAAATTTATTTGGCAATTTAAGACATCCGTCATTAGTGTCTCTCACCTCTGAAGTGAAGCACTCCTGTAGAAATGTACTTTGATTTAGGTCTTACCTTCTTAAAGCAAACTGTTCGAGTGTTTCCACACACTACTGAGATTCAATTGTATTATTATTTTTATAAGAATAATGCTTGTCTACATATAAGACTCCAGGGGGAAATACATCAGATGTGAATTTGTTTACAGCACAATTAACCTTATGTTAAAAACATATGAACAAGTTTTGCAGGTCAAATAATCTACCACACAAAAAGGGCTGAATTATCCGAGTTTGTGGGAGCAATCGGATGTTGCTTTATGTACTGAATTTCTATCTTTCTGTTCTAAAGTAACCATTGGAATAATTTTCTTACAGAATGATAGTTGCTATGACAACCATAGCAAATTTTCCTTTTCTGAAACAGATGTCTCATTTAGTTGAAAATTAGAATGTGAAAAACCCATGGGAAAAATTAATTCAAACTTTAACAGAACACTGACTACAATGTAATCTCTTATAGGTTAACCCCTTAACATCTCTCTGCACTCTTCTAGTAACCTTCTCATAAATTCTAATTAAACCAGTTTAACCTCCTAGAAATGACCTTCTTAGCTATCATTACCGCTTTAGTTGTCTTTGAAAGAATCATTTCTGTTACAACAGTAACAGAAAAAAGTCACACTAAAAAAATAATGGTCAAACATATTACTACTTTAATTACTTATTAGGTTCTTTTTTTTCTTTTATTCAGCTACTACTGGAAAGAGCCAACACGTAGTCCAAGAATTCTTTTGTCATTTAAATGGGGCACAACTTGGTTTTACGTGTGATCTACTGTAAAGGGTGATGAACTACACGGATTTCACCTGTCATTTACCTGAACACTGAAGGATTTCCATTTCCAAACCACCTCAATCTGCTCAGCAGAAATACAATGAAAAAAAAAAAAAAAGGATACTTGATGGGGAGAATTATCAGTGTACATGGATTTTTCTATTACAGGCAAGAGAGACTGAAATTTGATTCTCTATTACCTCGATTAGTAGCAAAAAACGCAGGACTAAACCACAACATGCAGATCATTGTACATCCTAATTTCTACAGTTTCCTACATGTTGGTTGTTTTTTTGTGTTTTTTTTGTTTTGATTCTCTTTTTTTCAGCTGAAAGGCAAATTGTCTCTCTAGAATTCCTTTGCTTACCAAATAAACCTCAAAGGCTCCCAAACACGTGTAACTTTCCTCCACAACAGTTGACATTTTTTTCTCCTTTCAGAAAATAAACAGATATTGGTCGGCGACTGTAAAGGAGCTCAGTGGGAAAAGAATGGACCAAATCAACTTCCTCAGTCTCGCTGCCCTTCCTGAGAACAGCAGAGCTGCACATATTTGATATTTAGAAGCCTGGACTAGGCATGTTGAAAGCCATACTGGTAGGAGGGACTGGTCAAGGGCCACGGAGCACAAAAAGCAGTTAAGATTCAGCAGCACAACCCCAGGTAAAACTCACCCCTGATTCTCAGCCCAAGAAAAGTCAGTGTTGGATGTTTAAATCTGATTTTTTGTTGATATAATCTTACTATTTTAACTAGCTACACTCCTGTGAGCATGGGTATACAGCACTGTATACAATATATACCTTCCTTATCTGCCTGCTGTTCACATTCTACAGGTGTTCG